ATAAGATAGAATTAAAATTTTATTTTGAAAAAATAATTTATTAATATTTATCTGAGGTACAAATCTTTTTGCACCAATTCATATTAAAAATTAAAATTTTTCAAAATTTTTTATATTAGATTTAATTTTATATTATATAATAGTACTTTTTAATTTTTTATTTATTATAAAAAAATAAGGCTGTCTATTAGTTAAAAATATAATTTTAAAAAATTTTTTATTTTAAATTTTTATTATTAACCTTTTTCAATCTTAATATGATATTATATAAAATTTATTATAAAGAAAAATTTTTATAAATTTATTAATAAATTTTTATTTTAATTAGTGATAAAAATTTTTTTCTTCAGAAACATATAAAATTATGGAATTGACTGTAAAACAAGTTATATCTTTAGCAAATTATAAATTAAATTACAAATTTTAAATTATATTAATTACTTATATCTTATAGTTTAATTTAACTTAGAAATGATAGGGAATAAACTTAAGAAATTTTTGAATAAATACATAAAAATAGGTCTAAAAAAATTTAGCAGGCAAATCTGCCTGCTGGATGGTTTAAAGAATAATATTAAAACATATACTATTAGAACCATATCGTCAGTAATAATATTATGGTTTTTGGTTGATAAGAAAATTGTGAATATGCTATGCTAAAAACAGTAAAGTTACCAAATTTTTAGAAGTATTAATGCTGAAGATGACTAAAAGTTTAGCCATAATATTAAGCTTTGGAAAAATTTATTCAATTTTACTATAGAACTACACAAATAATATTAACGATAGAATAAGATCTAATTTTAGATGTAGATGTAATACATAATTGGCGATGTATAATTATTGCAGCTGTATGCAATCAATTTTTACATCCAACAATACGGAAGAGTCAATAGAGCCATGATAGTAATTCTAACTGGTTTGCTTTATTTACACCCCTTATGATAAAATCATAACGAATTACATGCAAGAAGAGAAGTGTGGCTGCGTATATCATAAGTTAACTTTCTATATGCAGAATCTTGGAACAGGAGCTATAATACAGAGTTACTACAAAAGTCGAAAGCGAAGTTGTAATATTATTGCTTAATTATGGGCGTTGGATATCCAATCGGGGACTAACCCATATTTCCCAATCACTTTTTCTCTTTTCCTCTCCAAACAATTTCAAGACTGACACCACTAGTCGATACGATCCGTTCGGCAATTCGACATTACGTCTACCATCGACGGTATCTATTTTTCCTTCCCAGGGAATAAGTATAGGCTCGTTACATAGAGTTCTTGAAACATAATACTGTACGCCGTCTATTGCAATTTTACCCAATGAGTCCGGAACTAAATCACGGTTAACTTGAATATCTGATGGCGTTATCTCTGGTTGCTCGGTTTCAATATTGGGGGTTTTATCAACTCCAGGAATTCGTCGATATAATCTGCCAGGTGATCTTTTCGATTTTTCGGCTGGAACCAATGATGAGACATTTGGTTTTCCAACCTTTGATTGAACTGTGGTGTTCGCGGGAACTACATCCACAGCCAAAATGCGAGTTCCTTCTGCAAGAAGTACAATTAATGTTGGCGTATCGTTGCTTTGCAAAGTAAAAGTCACATTTTCGTTACGAGCTCGATAGACATCGAGGTGCGCTGTTTGAATGAATGGTGTGCCAGAAGCGGTATCAAGAATCGGAAGTGTTTTTAAGATCCCTTTCATTCCCATATATGGAACACTATATGATTTATTACTGGTTATATCCGAGAACAGAATAAATCCTGAGAATAAAAAGTATGAACCGTTATCTAAATCAGATGGAGGCTTGATTACAACTTTAATACTCTTTGATTGTCCAGGTCCAAGCTCAATTGATGATTCTGAAATGTTTACCTCAGCAAATGAGTCTTGGAATACTGGTTGTTCTTGCGGCGCAAATGATTCCGTAAAATTGTATCCATTTACTGCTTGTGCTCCAACATGACTAACTGTAAATTTCACATTCTTTTTTCCGGAATTTTTGATTGTTAATGTATTTAAAGCTTTGTAATTCTCGGTATCGTTTAATGAGAGTTTATAAGGTGAGATACTGATAGTTGAAGATAATGCATCTAATAAATTAATTAGTCCAGCACCTTGTTGAACAATCGATGTATGCGGTACATTTTTATTTGAGCTAGAAGGTATTTCAACTGGATGTGCAGTATTCATAAACAATTTTTTCGTTTCAACTGCACTCATTTTACCTTTTGCCTCGAAAATAACCGCCACACATCCTGCCACATACGGTGCTGCCATACTCGTACCACTCGTTACTCGATAAGAACCAAGTTTAACAGGGTACGTGCTATTGATTGCACCACCTGGCGCAGCAATTTCTGGTTTAATATCCATCTCATTCGAGGGTCCCAACGAACTAAAACTTGATATTTTTCCACCTGTTGGGTTTGAAAATACGAAAGTGTCGTTAGGAAAGGTAATTGTGACATTCTTGTTCTGTATTTGATTGAATATAAATTCACCACTCATTGGATAAGTTAGAGCGACTGGAATTGTTACTGAGGAATTTATAATTGGTGGAAAAATTGTGGATATGACATTATCGTAGAATAGGATTCCGATTGCACCAGCTGCTTGCGCATTAATCGATTTTTGTATGAACGTGCAGCCGCCACGTCGAATCAATGCTATTTTCCCGGTTAGGTTTGCTGGTTGAGCATTACACGCGTCATCGATCACTTTAGTGTTATTGCTTGTGGCTACGATCTCAGAATTTCCGCTAATATTAAATCTCGTATTGTTAGGAGTCCAGTATCCAATCTTTTTTTCAGGTGAGGAACTGATTAAAAGATAATATAATTGGATTTTCGTATTATCAACCGAAGCGACTGAAATCGCGTTCAGTGCCACTCCGGGAGATGCGGCTTTAAAAATTGCTTGATCGTTCCCATTATTACCCGTTACAGCTACTACGATTATCCCTTTAGCTATTGTATTTTCAGTTGCTACGGCTTCAGGACTTTCTGCCCAGCCACCAGCACCAAGAACTCCAACTGAAAAATTAATAATATCCATCCCATCATCGGATGCTCGTTCCATCGCTTTAACAAGCAAATCATTAGTCGTTGTGCCATTGCATCCAAAAATTCTGTATATACCCAAAGTTACTAAAAATCATAAATAGGTAGAAATAATTAATTGACGCAATGATTAAATTTATGTGGATAAAAGAGCTCACCACCGGGTGCAACACCAGTAAAATTATTGGCTTTATCCTCAGCGGCAAGAATTCCAGCAACATGCGTTCCATGTCCATTACATTGATCCAATGGATCATTGTCACCATGTGGGGTATTAGAGCCATTAAACGCGTCACCGACAAAATCGTATCCAAATTGAATTTTACATCCTTTCGTCTTAAAGCAATTGCCAAATGCTGGATGTGTATAATCAATTCCAGTATCAATTATTCCAACCTGATATGATTATTGACAAGTTAATTAAATTTTTTGGTTAGTCTTTGATTAAGAACGAGTGGTTCTCTTACCTTGATATTTTTTCCGCTGTATTTCGTTCCTGCTCGAACTTGTGCAACGCCGGTTAATTCATCAATGGGTAAATTTGACGGAGAACCTTTACTATCATTAATGGCATTCAAACTTACTTTTGGTTGTTCAAGAATCGACTATATTTTAATAAATTAATTAAACACAAAGTAAATAATGCTCTAATATGATATCTATTCGTTATCACACTTACCACAGGCCAAATTTTCTTTACGATAGTCATATTGTTCAATCTCTCTAAATCATCCTGGTGACTAACAGTGATCGACACACAGTCAAGCAACTTCTCAAGCGAATACCTCAATTTGAAATTTACACCCGAGAATTCAATATGCTCCAAGAAATTTTGTACACACGACGAAACTCCGTTACCTTCCATATCAACATAATTGGTGAAGTTCGCACCTGTTGGATTCGATGTGTTATGCATTGCTGTTTTGTCATATACGACAAAGTACGTTTGCGGGAGGTGCATGGAAAGATCAAGCGGACCTATATTCAGTTTTGTTGCCGAGACTGCGCTTAGCAGGATTGTAGAGTATAGTAATAGTGTGGTGATCTTGAGTAATAATGTATGCCGGAAATGTTTTCGCATGATGGTATGTTATAATAAATATTAGAAATAATAATTTGATGCAATAAAAGTTACAATCGAATGCTCTATAAGCACTTTGTTGAGTTTAAAAATTGTGTTATATTCTCTCATACGTCGAAATAAAACATTCTTATAGGGAGGTTCAGCTGTGCTCAAATTCATAAGTTGTATTCAAAAATAAAATTCATGTCCTATTTCGCAAAAGTACGTCATTTAATGTGTATAAAGTTTCGATCATAGTAAATCTACTATTAATAGTAATATAGTAAATACCGAAATAGTCGATGTGTGTAAATTTATCTAACCTAAAAATAACGACGACTAAAAATAAGAGAAATTATAACGATAATAGATGTTGTATTATAGACCTCGAATCTTTTTTTACTAATGACCATCTCGAAGACACACACATCGTCAAACGATCAATGAATGAATAATTCCTCATTTAGAATATGCATATGTGTTTGGTGTATGACGAGCTAAAAAATAATTAACAAAAGCCGGGACTTATTTTGTGGTACGAAAAATATACTTTCTGTTATTGCATATTGTCGTCTCTATGAAGGTGTTAAATTTGTGGAAAAATTTTTGAGAAAGATCATCTGGACAAACTCAAAGTCGTGACATTTATGCTGGCAATTTCCATCGCAGATCCTAACCAATCAAAATTCAAATGTTCATAGTAAGAGTCACGCTCATCAATTAAATGAAATGTGAGCAAAAAAGGTTTTATCATTTGAACCAAAAATAGCTTGAATTCGAAATATCATGATCATCTATCATAGATAAGAAGCAACCTCTTTTTCTATCTAGAACGCACAAATACTACAAAAATTTTTATAATGTGAAAATCAATTAAAGTATTGCACAAACTACAAACTGATGAAAGTTCTGATAAGTGAATTTTCATAAATAAACCTTTCAAATTTTCAGGTTGTGAGAAATACAACTAAATCAGGTTTCAATCGATTATAAAAATTTCTATACGTAGGATAACTTGTATCCCGATACAAGCTTGTAAAGGTAACCGCAGGCGTGTTAAAATGGTCGAGTTTTAATTCAGACTCTGTCTAAAGTCAGGCTTTGTTGTGCTAGCCTTATATCACGTGTATTTTCTAAACTAATTATATGCTATTATTTCGCATAACAATAAATAACGAAATGTGATTACATAACGATAATTAGGATACGTAGCATCTGATCCATCATGCGACTGTAGGACATAAGTATTTTTAGAGCCTAGATTCAGATTCAAAGTCACTTTGTGTCCGAAAACCGACTGATTGGTTTTTAGCTCACCTAATGTTATCAAAACTGAGACCAGGGAATTTTTAATTATCAAACTAATTTGAATTAGACTTAAATATTTAAAATAACAAAGCCAACATAAATGCAAATCTTACCAAAACTGGGAGATTGTGAAAATGATCTTAGTTCACCAATCAAATTCCAAAACTAAATCAACGAAAAACAAAACATAAGCAGTATAGTAGAAATTATGAAATTGCGAGAAGTAGCCGATAATTTAATTAAAGATTATTGAAAAACAGCCAAAGCCGAAAAGCAAGAAGCGAACAGTTGAAGCACTCTAAGCCAAGAACAGCAAGCCAAATTCATCAAATACTGAGCCAGAGAAAAAGCCCGCCAAGAGCAAGAACTAAAAGTAGCATTGAAAGCCTCATCAAAGGTAAATTTATATCGTATGCTCTATGAGGTCAACCAGTCAAATCACAAGATATTGACCAAATAATTCTATGTACAGCATCTTTGACGCTCAATATCTCGAGATCTAGTGGCAGAAATCGAGTATAATGCCTACTATTTAATTTCCAAAGCTTAGGGAATCAAGTGCAAGACCGTCATTCAATTCACCAGAACCCAGGAAATCGAATAATATGGCTTAAACTCAATTTCCATTATTAATCTCAAGATATTGAGCTCCAAAGAAGCTGTACATAAAAATTGTTAAATAAATCAAAATTTCACATTGGAGCTCAAGATTTTGAGACCCAGTGATAGGAATTGAGTACAAACACATTCAATTCCCTAGATCTTGAGCAATCGAATGTGAATCTTGCACTTGTTATTTCTCAAGATATTATGCTCCAAAGAAGTCATATAAAAATTCAATGTACGGTCTCTTTGGAGTTCAATAGCTTAAGACGCAGTGAAGGGAATCGAGCGTGAGGCATACCATTCGATTCCCGCCATTTGTTCTCAAAGAAGCCATATCAAAATTCCATAATGTACATGATCTGCTGCACAAAAATTTCCCGAAAATGGAAACAGAACAAAAATATCTCAAAATTTTTACTATCGCTATGATAATTACTGTAATTCGCCGCATAAATACCCGGGATCTGTACATTTACCAAAATTTAACTAGTAAAAAAGGAAGACTTATTAAAAAAGGCGGGAAGGTTAGTTTATGCTGCGAATTCGGTAGCTCTGACTCTCTAAATAAAAATGTTTAGCGCAAAATTTTATTTATAGTCATTTTCCTTGCCCGGACAGAAATGACCGATCACCACGAAATTTCGCCGATCAAACGTTAAAAGTAGCCCATATGTAAACTAAACTTTTTCTAACACAACCGGCCATGGTGCGATAAGTAAACTTATTCACGATATCTACCTGCATACGTTTTATAACTTTGAGCAACTTTGTATAAATATTGAGTGAAAAACAAAGGCTTACGTCAAAGATAAAGATTTTCGAAAAAATTACGTTAAACCTTTCGTTATAATGTAACTCAAAAAAGCTAATTGCAATGCGTTCTCGCATTATTAAGTAAAAATAATGTTTATATTTCAAAATATATAAATTTAAAATTTGAGACGATTTGGTTTCGATTTCCTTGAATGAGCAGCTATATCATAAGACAGTATCCAATTTTATTAAACGCAGATACAAGGTAGTACAAAATTTCATGTTGGATAACTAAACGAAATTATGCGTCTCGTCAAGTTGCTTATATAAAAATTTTTTAACTCGTTTGTTAGTAAACAAACACGTATTAATAAAAGTTATTAACAACAAAGAGACACGTCGAATTGTAAAATGTGACTGGATTCTGGCGAGTATATAACAATATACGGTGGCGATCAAAAGTAATGCAACGCAAAATTAAAAATCATTAAATCATGATATATTTATAAGTAGCTAACAAAATTT